TATATATACATATATTACATACACACATATACATAATATTTTATATATATATTCTCTACACCCAGTGTGGGGCTTGAACTCATGACCCTAAGAGCAAGAGCTGCCTCTTCCCCTGACCGAGCCAGCCAGGTGCCCCTAAAATGTATTTTTTAAATTAGTGTGACCTATTCTTTTCATTTTTTTAAATACGGCTTCTAAACATTTTGAAATTACCCACGTGACTTGCACTGTGTCTCTAGACATAAATCACCCTTTCCATCTCACTCTCCTCATTTCCTTTCCTTCCCTCGTGCACTTTCCCCAGCCCTCATTGCCCTGTCTCACATAGTAGGAGAAGATGACTTCCTGGGCAGGGATCGCATCCGCGGGATCAATGTAATAATCCACCAGCACTTCCTGGGGCTGGCCACATGCCAAGACTCCGTTTGGCTGGTGGATGCCAAGGAAGCTACGCGTTGTGTGGTAGAAGGGCTGCAGGCGCAGATAGTCGTTCTGGTAGTAATGAGGCACCTGTTCTGGCTTATATACCAGATCTTCCATTTGGAATCTGCCCTAAGAAAAGAGAAAGAAAAAGGCTTTTAACACAAGCCCCCACCATAGTAACCCCATGGACTTCTTATGGTTTTCAAAACCATCTCTCTCAAATCTTCACTGCCGAAGAATGGCCTGTGGATGTTTTACTAGAGGTCCAGCTAAGGATGATTGAAGAATCTGTAACAGTGGTTATGTGCAGCAGCACTTTGGTATGTAGACGAGTGAAATTATAGTTTTCAAGTGATGCTCAATTGTGGGTGATAAACCTTCACGGACTGATGCAAGAGATGTAGATAAGCATGACTAAGATTACACAGAAATCAAAGCATACATCCTAGGGATAAGAAAACCAGGTGTAAAGGATAGTAAGGTTAAAAATAATCATTTCTAGGGGCGCCTGGGTGGCTCAGTCGGTTAAGCGGCCGACTTCGGCTCAGGTCATGATCTCACGGTCCGTGAGTTCGAGCCCCGCGTCGGGCTCTGTGCTGACAGCTCGGAGCCTGGAGCCTGTTTCAGATCCTGTGTCTCCCTCTCTCTGACCCTCCCCCGTTCATGCTCTGTCTCTCTCTGTCTCAAAAATAAATAAACGTTAAAAAAATTTTTTTTAAATAATCATTTCTATTAAGGAACGAAAGAGATGAACATATGAGAAGGGGGGGAAGGAAAAAAGAGAGAGAGAGGGAAACAAACCATAAGAGTTTCTTTTTTTTAAAATTTATTTTTCAGAGAGAGAGAGGCAGAGTGCAAGTGGGGGTGGGGCAGACAGAGAGGGAGACACAGAATCCGAAGCAGGCTCCAGGCTCCGAGCTGTCAGCACAGAGACAGATGTGGGGCTCAAACCCACGAACTGTGAGATCAGGACCTGAGCCAAAGTCGGACGCTTAACCGACTGAGCCACCCGGGGGCCCCCGAACCATAAGAGCTTCTTAACAACAGGGAGCAAACTGAGGGTTGATGGAGGGAGGTGAGTAGAGGATGGGTTAAATGGGTGATGGGCATTGAGGAGGGCACTCGCTGGGATGAGCACTGGGCGTTGTCTGTAAGTGATGAATCACTAAACTCTACTC